AGACAACGTGGTTCTTGACAAGGAGCGTCGAGAGCGTCGGCTTTTCTTGCAGCGGCTTGAGCACGGACGCCGCTTGGTTTTTTGGCAAACGAGTAAAAGAGCACGCCGAGGACCACGACGCACGTCGCAACCCCGCGCTTGGCGTCAAAGCACTGCGACTCTTGGTGGCTACACAGTCCACATGAGTCACCAAATCTAAAACGGCGCTATGTACCTGCAGTAGAGGACCGAGCTCAGCGCAAAGACGCAGACAGCGCGAAGACTCTAAACCACCGATCGAGTCGACTGCGGGACATCGTGGATGTACCTGCATGATACCGGTCGTCACGGCGCCGCAGGAGCCCAGCATCATAAAGTACGTCAAGCCGTGCGCGAGCTGCGACATGGTGTACCAAAAAAGCGCCGCGAGAATGTGCTACGTCCACGACGAGATTCACATCGAGGCGGAAGTGAGCACGACGTACAACGGGGTTGCCGTTGGCGTCCATTACTGGCTTGGTGATCATGTGATTCCACTGCGGCAATACAAAGAACATTTGGTACACCGAGATCATCGAGACGCAGATGATGCCCATGCGGAGGCAGAGCACCTTGGGCTCGGGCCGCTCGGGCAGCTTGAGCATGTACTCGCCAGCCACTACACTTTCATGATGATCCAGAATACGCGGCAGGCGAATGTGAACCAACCATAGTTGCCCCCGTAAAAGCCTGCACCAATGAGCGTGTTGACGCAGCCCATGAGCACCACGCCGGCATCGCCTACAGGAGGAGGTAATGATCATGGTCAAATAAAAGGAGATCGTACGGCCGCCATTCGACTGCCCGAGCGCCGAGAAGGCAAGGCCAAACGTGACCATGGCGATGCCCAGCCATTCGTTCTACCCATGGACGATAAGTCATAGCAAGAAAGAAGCGTCGTACCCGGCCCACGTGCTTCCCGAGAAAGGCTTTCGAGAGGAGCGCCGACCAGCACACGACGGACGAGTAGACGACTTGGTAGACGCCGCTGCCCGCCATGGAGAGACCAATGTTGGCAAAGATGCAGCCGGCAAAGTCGAGAAAGACGTTGAGAAGCAGCATCGCATGCACGAGCGGGAGCGCGCCGTTCAAGTACCCGCGGTGACCGCCCTTGGTCTGCTTCTCCACCATGGCGACAACGTCCGGAAGGTGGACGTCGGTAGGCTGGCGGCGCGTGAGTTCGGTCGCCTCGCGGCTCTTGGGCGCGTCAACGGTTTCGATCAGCGACGCGACGTCGTCGTCGTGCTTCTTGCCAAGGGCATCGGTCGTCGGCGCCTCGGCTGGCGGCGTCGGGATCACGCCCACAAGCATCATGCCAAGGTAGTTGCAGAGCGGGAGGAGCATCGCCTTTTGGGCTACGACAGGTGAAGTATGGGCCTCGTGGCCATGCGACGACGACGTACCGCCAGCGCCCTGGTAGAAGATGAACTGGGCCGCGCAGGTCGAGAAGACGCCCGTGAAGAGGAAGATGGCTTGCACGCAGATGAGGCCGTAGCCGGACGAGCTCTTCATCATGCTCAGTACGGGGTCGATTCCAACGTGGAGACGGCGCGTCGTTGTATTTTAATGATTGAACTCGCGGATTGCGATACATAGCTGCAGATAAAATAAAACTGCCGCATTCAATGAACCGCCGGTCCTGTCTCTGCAGTCCCTCTGCCACGAACTCAGATCTGATAGCTCGCCTGATGGAACCGCCATATCCGAGACGTCGCTGTCGGCCAAGGCGACGACGACCTCTTGCCGACGACCATTGCTAGGAACCTGCCTGGGATGTTGCCGCGTAAGATGCGTGGTGGCCATCGTGGGTGCACTTGGACGCCCCGCAGCCAGCCACGTCATGTGTGTGCTAACGTTATTGGAAATTTCAACCGCTTGGACCAAGCCGATACCAAGGCAGCAGCAAAATGGTTGAACGAGCCTTGGTTGACACCGGCTATTACATGCGTGGTGTCCAGGACACACCTATGAGTGGGAGCCGTAGGCGTCCAGGAAGCTCTGGGTAGCGTCTGGCGACGTGAGGCGGAGGACGTGCACGTGCGCGTGGGCGGCGAACGCTCGGGGCCAGTCGACGGTGCGCCGGCGATGGTACTTGAGAAAGAGATGGTGGAAGAGCGACTCGGTCGA